CATAGCATACTATGCTATGGCTCCGCAAGAGACGGTCTGGTAGGGTGTTGGATCAACTTTATTCACTGCAACCCGGAAAACAACCACATCACATAATAGTAACATGGCATTGGTATTTTAATCATAACACACGCTGGCATTTTTTCATGCATACTTGAGAGGATAAGCGAAAGCGGAAAAACGAGACGGTAAAAAAAGGGGGAAAAAGGAAAAAATCCAGACATTGACACAAGTAGAAATCGAAAAACAAGGGTGCCCCCGAAAAGATTCGCTTCAACCCATCCCTTCATCCGCCAATCTCGCTATGAAATGCTCAAACATCTTCAGAAGTTCTGCTATTAAGGAAGCACGCCCCCTACTGCAGATTCCTCGATCCCGACCCCGTCCCCCTCGAGCTACGCATACATCCGCCTTCTCCGAATCCAAAGATGCCAGCAAAGCCAAATATGCCACAAGTATAGCAACAAAGGAAGTAATTGCACAGATTGCGATATCCGAATCCATGATGCAATCCCCCGAACTTCAGATGACTGCACCCGCAATATACTTGTCTATCGTTGTAGACCTGAAAAATTTACGAGGCGCAACCCCTTCTGCAGCCCGCACTTCAGGAAGGTAAACGTGATTCTTTGTGAATACCAGCAGGCACTGTTACTCCTTCGCCCCCTCTCCCCCTCCTATCTTACTCCACCGCCTATCGTAGTTCCACCGCCCGAGCACCCCTTATCTATTGCAGGGCATCCATCTCAATCCTGCCGATCTGGACCCCCTTTTTTTCGTAGTATCCCAACTTTCACTTTATAGCCAATTCTGCCACCACAGCCTACCCCCTCTTATCTTACCCCGCCACCTATCGCAGCGCCCGAACTCCCTTATTCCTTGTAGACCATCCGACCTGATCCTGCCGATCCGAACTCCTCTTCCGTAGCATCATCCCCCGAACTCCTTCCATAGCCAATCCCGCCTCCACAACCCATCCGCTATCTTCGGAGAAAAAAGCCCTTTGTCCTCCGAAGCCCCCTCCCTCCCCTTATTGTTACCCTTCCCTCGGTTCTTTCAGTGATGCGCGCGCCTGCTACGGACCTCCATCGACAGCAATACTACCGGGAGCAGAGCAGAGGTCGAAGCGCAATCGTCAGTAGAAGAGAAGATCACGTAAGGCGCAGGCAAAGGTGAAGACTGGATACGCCGCTCGGTAGCCACCTGGTATCTCTGCCAAAGAGGCACTCTCGAATAACCAGGATATGCAGTAAGAGGAGGTGACGACTCCCTAAAGCGATTTTCACCACTGCGCCACACAGCGGATCATCAGAGGGACCTGCACAAAACAATCATCAAGCCACACACACAAGCCAATACCATAGAAGGGGAGGAGAAGATAATACCGCGTCCGCATCGGGCTCCGGCAATCCCTCCATACCAAATGGCAACTCGATATCTTCCATGGCGCAGTATGCGTGCTGGAAACTGCCGAGGCCTTGAGCAACGTAGCCGAATAGTCAAACACCTTTGCGTAGCACGCCTTCGATAGCGCAGAAAGAGAGGATTAAAGCTACGTCAGCGATTATTAAAATAGTCGAGCGCAGATGAATGTACGCCTGCCGTTCCATCTACGCCCCACCGAATCGTTGGCCGAAAAACCCGCAGCCGAATAGGCAGCCTCGTGAGGCGATTCTTGGGAAACACAGTCCACACCCTTTCGACTGTCAACGACAAGGCCACCAGGTACCAAGCGGTCGGAGCCTGTGCCCGCTTATTACAAGGGTCCTGTTCGGTCCGCACCCCTTTGACTGTCAACGATGAGGCCACAAGGTACCGAGAGGCCGGGGCCTGTACCCGCTTATTACAAATAATAATAATAATAATAATAATAATAATTAAAAAAAAAGGGGGCCGCCGGAATGGGGGAACTTCCTCCTGGAACGAAAGAACGGAAACACAGCCTTGTGAGCGTGCGTGTGTGTGTGCGTGTGTGTGTGTGTGTGTGTGTGTGTGTGTGTGTGTGTG